CGTCAATTTCAAACCCATATCTTCGCTTAATTTCCTCCTTGAATTGTTGATTTTTTGCCTCGTCATCATAAGGTTTTCCCGAAGCCTCAAGCTTGGTTTTTAAAAACCTATATACATAGGGTTTGAATAGGGCGTCCGACATTTCATTAAATTTCAAAATTTCGAATATTTTCTTGACTTTGTATCCCTTCCTGAGGGCATTTTTAAGTTCAACTGATGTTGTAGTTGTCAAAAAGGACCTCTCTTCCTCTCCATGTTCGCATACCAAGTTTTTGTTGTAGCTGGCTCCTTGATTCTCCTGAGCACATGAATAACATAGAGGGTAGATTAACTTTTTGTTACAGGTAATCGGGAGGACAGGAAGCGCGAGATTCTGAGGAGGAAGAACAACAACTTTATACAACCCATCATGCTCAATGTCTGCTTCAGATTCCCAATTCACATCATAATTTTGAATGTATAAGGGTGTAGGTATCCCTATGGGCATTGCATAGGTCGCCATGATATAAGGGTAAAGACTCTGAATGTCTGTGTATCCTATTCCTTTCCTTTCATTAGCGTTAAATTTGAGACATTGCGTAGCAGTTCGTCCACCATGGAAGGCATCTCGGAGTCTGATAGAACCCGCCGAAAAGAATCTCTGCTCAAAATAAGCAGACATTTCGTCGTCCTCTTGTAACATTTTCCTAATCTCACATTCCTTATAAACAAGGACTTCAAATCCCAAATCTTCGAGAGCTTTTACTCTTTTTTCTGTTTTTAGTAACCCTTCTTTTACAGATATTCCAGAGGGCAAACGGTCTCCGAGATCTTTACAACAATCTTTGCACCCGTGATAATAGCAACCATTTAGCTCCAATGCCAAAGGTTTCTCATTCTGCCTTTCCAAGAAACCATCTATCGAGATTTTGTGGACCTTTCCGTCGATGACAATCTCAACTCTATAAAAAAATTTTTTTTTTTTTTTATTATTTTTGTTTTTGTTCTAACCTTTTTTCCCCATTATCCCTAAATTGGAGATCTTTCATGTCCTTTTTGTCTCTCAGCCATCTGAAGAAAAGTAATGCCACTTTTGATTGTTGTATAAAATCTCCAAACCCAATAGTAGGAGTTCTGATGACGGTCCGTTCCTCCAGGTCTAACATTCGCCAGATTCTCAGACATGAAGAAGCAAGGGTTGGACAGTAGTATAATACATCGTCCGTAGGACAATGCTCTTGAATCATACTTCTAAACTTTACTAAGGCATGCAGCAGGATTCTGGTGTCTTGAATTCCATAATCGTACAACTGTTGTTTGAAGTTGAAAGGTTTATCCCGATTTTCTTCGTAAAAGTCAAGCAACTCTTGTCTTTTGTTCGCATTCAAACTGTCTGGACAATAATATTGAATATCCGGATGATGAGGGAGGTCAGCTTGATAGTGAGCAGGAGTGTTAAAGAGATGGGGGAATGTCCCCTTGGAATCAACTTCAAGACCCAAAGCCTTTGGCATCGATCCGAGAGGCATTTGGAGGTAATTAAAAGAGTCTGTAAATTTGACCTCTGTGAAAGCTCCAGCAGTTCCAGCGACATTAATTGTGTAATATTTGGCCCCTGTCAAGATCATATCGATCTTGGAGATGGCTGAAAAAAATATTTGAATTTGTTGCAATGACCTACTCTTGTCTTTGTTTATTTCTTTCATGAGCAAATGACAATCGAATTTGCCTCCGAAATGTGCTATTGCGAGGACTGGTATCTTTTTTGCGCAACTTTTTAGATACTCCCATACGTCTTTGACAACATTTTCGGAGTCACCATGAGGAATACTAAACGTCTTTAGATGCTCTCCACATTTTTCACATGGAGTCTCTTCGTCTCTCCATTTACCGTTTGCCATACAAGTTGTACAGGCCTTGTGAATTGATGCGAAATTTACAGAGTGTTGACTTCTGTTCGAGTTATCGTTCAAAGGAGTGGTGGTAGTTTCAAAGTCAAAGGCACACAAGTTGTAGTTGACAGGTTTTTTAGGCACAGGTATGGGGTTGACGTAACACTCACTCCCGACTTCGTGAAAGCCTCGGCATGACACGCAAAAACTTAATCCACATAAATGCCCATTCTTTTTTGAATATGCCTGATCACATTTGTCACATTTTTTGTAATAAAAGCAAATGTTTTTCTTCAGATGGTGTTCATAGCAATCCTTGTTTAAAAACTTTTTTGTACATGCGGCGCACTTCTTTTCAAAGCCATCATCCTTACAAGGAAAGTCGTTTCCTATACGACAACACTTGGTGCATTTTTTCTGGCATCTAGCTGTATGATCGATTGATTCTCTCATCAATTTCCGACAACTGAAACATAAATTGGAGAAAGATCTGACTCCGAAGAAAGCAGTGGGACTCCATATGGAGTCGTAGTGATTGTCGTGGTAATAAAGCATAATTGGAGTTTTTACATCCAAAATCTCATCCTTCTCCAGTTTCGGGTAACTCCATCCGTGCTCAAAAGATCTCCGATCAAAAACTATAATTTTATGTGGAGCGGCTTCTGGGTATTTTTGGTCCATGAAAGCTTCCCAGAGGCCAACCGTGAACTCGATGCTTTCCTTTCCTGTTAAACTTGCAGCCTTAAAATGTTTGTATGCTTCTTTTAGTTCAGCACATTCTGTTGGTTTTGTAAATTTTCGAGCCTTGTACAATTTTCGTTCAGATTTTTTATGGCCCGGAAGATCCTTGGTAGTTGCAAGCCTAGAGATGTTTATGGATACAGGAAGACAATCATTCTTCTGAGTGTTAACATGGAAAATGCCTGTACTTGTCTCCAAAAAGGATCTAGTTGTCTGTCGTGTCGGGGGAGCGCCACCGATTCTGCCATATAGAACTGTTATGTTGAGTACAAAGGGTTTCCCCAACAAGCTTGGAGTTTTGGATGACTGTGCAATTTTGAATAATTTTGTGTAAAGATGTTTAGGATCGAAAACATTTCTTTTGGAGAAATGATTTAGAGGTCTCGTTAAGTTATCGGACGATACTCTCACACCTACATACATGGCCCTTTCTGATCCTCCTCTTTCAACTAGAAATTAAATTTGATTTTTTTTTTAAAGTGTTTACCTTCTCTGAGGCACTCGTTGACTGATTGTTCTACAAGCTGATTGAAACGTTTTTCAAAATCACTCATGTTTTCACTAATGTGTATATGGTACTTTTGTTCTCTTGAGTAGCATTTAAATCTCTCTGACGTTTTAACTCGAGAGGCTCCGACACGGAAGAATTGTATTCTATAATAAAATTTTTTGACTTTTTTTTATACGATTATTGCACTTACCCCCGGCCTTTTTGAGGGAGAGGTCTGAAAAAATCGTCAAATTCAGGGAGGGTATCTGTGCCTCCTAAAAACCTTGCCATGTCAAAGCACGGATCAGAAAAATTTTCCTCGTCAAGATCATCTAGAGAAACATTGGTTTCTGAGAATTCCTTGTAAAAGTCGAGATCTTCCAAAAGTTTTTGCATCATCATTTCGCGGGGATTATGTGAAGAACTCGATGGGATGTTTGAGAGATCATCACTAAAAAATGAATCAGAGAAAAAAACAAGAGATACCTTTCGAGTAGCTGCATGTACTGCATGAGTTCTGCGGGCCCTAAGACCTTAAAGTCGGGCCTGAGAATGTCTTCAATGGACAATGTATTATTTTGTTCTTGGGTTGTCATTTTTATTGATTCTTCATGATTGGAGTTTGTCTGCTCTTCCATAATGGTTTCCGAGCATTGGCGAAAATTGGGAGCCGATCTATGATAATCGACGGCCGGGTCTCTTATATTCGATAAGTCCCTCAGGGGTGTAAGACGCCTTCTCTTGGAAGGTGGATGATTGGAGTTTGTCTGCTCTTCCATAATGGTTTCCGAGCATTGGCGAAAATTGGGAGCCGATCTATGATAATCGACGGCCGGGTCTCTTATATTCGATAAGTCCCTCAGGGGTGTAAGACGCCTTCTCTTGGAAGGTGGTTGTTCTATTTCGTTAGTCATCTAAAAAATTTTTTTCTTTATTAATTGAATTAAGAAAGATACGATAATAACACGCCAACAGTTCACGAAAAATATATGATAATAAGAGGGAATCAAAACATTGTAAATAGGTGTAAGGATAAGGGGAACATTTAACGATAAAAGGGGGTCAGTCGGATTTTTCTTCCTCGAAGACTTTTTCAATCTGTTTCTGTAGTTTACGAAGTGTATTCTTGCTCACAGCTGTTGCCCTGTAAATGTCCATTAGTGTGTATTCTTCTCTGCACATGTAGTATAAAGTTGCAGCGATAGTTGAAAGAAGAGGATTTCTGAACATTTTTTTATTTTTTAGATTGATATATGTTACCCCGTCAGCACACTTTTATTTTGAACTGTATGAACCATTTTTACTAGTTGAGCCTGTCTTTTATAGGAGAGCCCTAGATAAGCGCAAAATCTGCTTGCATATTCCTCGACTCCAATCGGTTTGTTTGCATTGGCAATATTTCCGGGGATCTGTTTGAAACATTTATAGATCTTCTTTATGTTAACCGCCGACAATTCTGAGATTTCTAAAAAGGGAAAAATGAAACGCTTGGGTCATTGATAACCTTTGAAACTCCGTGGAACCCCATTTTTACGACATGTTATGTACAAGCAAGTGGCTAAAACATGTTTGTCACTAGTGTTTTTTACATAGTCTTTAATTCTGTCAAATAGGATTGAAACATCCTTTTCAAGGCTTGAGGGCAGATGTCCTTTACTGGTCATCTCTTGTAATATTTTTGTATTCTCTTCAGACATTTTTGGTGTAGGTGTTGTGGTATAAAAAGGCACATCATTTAAGACGTCAAAGATCCGTTCGCCGACAACGACGCCACACTCTGGGCAAATCAGATCTCCACATCTAAAATCTTCTATCAACTCCGCCTCTGTATGAAAGGGGCACGTCAAACGCTCCATGTCACTATAAAAACAAAACGGTTAGTGATTTGTATGTTAGATATGCGTTCGTCATTCTTTATTGTGCTTCCCAGCAACGATCCTAGTAACACCTTTGGGAAAAATACCCCTGCTGATTTCAAAATCGTGTTGCCTAAACCCTTGACATTTGACGCCCCCTATTTATGTGGTTTACAGAGCATTGTCTATCCTCATTCATGGGCTTCTATCGGGACCTTGGATGGGCAATATATCGATCTTACAACTGCTTACGCAATCTTGAGAATACACATCCCTAAAGGGAGTTTTAATACAATTGAGAGTTTGGTGACATATTTGAATTCGGTGGTTCAAGAAGAGCTTGAGAAGGGAGAGGGGCGTCGTAAAAGAAATGCTCCGGAAGAGCCAAAGGTTTTAAAAAAGGGTAAAAAGATGGATGTCGCATTAAAGAAGTCTGTGAAGACTGATGAGGGAAATCCAATCCCTTTGACAAAAGCCGCGGTACAAAATGTTTCTCTTCCAAACGTTTCTAATACTAATATTGCTGATGTTGGTACTAGAAATAATCCGGGGGGTATTCGAAATACTACTAGAGATACTGCTAAAAGTACTACATTTTCTCATGGTGCTGCTCAACCTAGCCCTTTGCCTCCTTCTAATCCGCCTGTTTTACAACCGTCTACTCTTAGCACTCCAATTACTACTAGCATAGCTACTCCATCTACAACAACACTAACAGGGGCACAACATACCGCTCCCTCTGCATCCTCAAAGGCCTCGTCATCACAACTTTCCAATCATATACAAAAAGGCAATTTATCTCTCGAAAATGAAAAAAAGGCCCCGAATAACAACAACTCCCAATCTGCCAAGAACAAAAGCGGCGCGACCTCCTTCTCCCCGGTTTCGACCGACCATCTGCCTACGCACAATCCTGCGATTGGTTTTATGGATGTTGAGTATCCCCGAATGTCACGCCCCCTTGCCCTGGTTGGCACGAGACGTATTGAGACTGAACCTTTGAAGGTCCCCGTCTATGAATTGAACCGCCCTCATAAAACGGTGAAAGAGCCAATCAAAGCAATGTATAACCTGAGACCTTTAAGATCTTCCGATTTCGCAATATTATACGACAAGAAAATTCAGCGTGTGAAAACACATGTTAATCATGAAGTAGTGGGGAAGATTGAGTTCTCACCCCAATTAAAGTACACTCTAGGGTTTTCGGATTATGGGGAAATTGTAAACGAAACTGTCGCTCCATTCTCTCCTGATCTCAGTGGTGGCATCAAGAACCTAGCCGTATACGTTGACGATTTAGTTGAACAGGTTATTGTCGGCAGTTTTCAAACACCTATGCTTCGTATGGTTACAGTAAAAGGCAAACCGGGGGATGTTGTGGAACAGATTTACGATCAACCGCTAATGATACCTGTTAGAGCAAGAGAGATCTCTGTATTACATGTTCAAATTAGAACTCTAGATGGACGTTTATGCCCTTTTGATTATGGCATTACTTGTTTGACTTTATGTTTCAAACCTCTGGCGGTTTTTTAAATTTATTGTTTAATAAATAATAATTGCAAGTTAAAGGGAGTATTCGTGAAAGTTCTCGTACAGCTGTAAGCATGACAAAAGGCTCTAATAACATCTGAAGGCTTGAAATCTTTTAATGGCAATGCCTCCACCTTAAACTCATCGAGATCCATCTCCCCAGAAATGTGCATAGTAATGTAATTGAAACCTATAACAATATGATAATTCAAGTTAGTCTCCAACCTTTTGAGTATCTGTCTACAAGTTCTTTTACAAGCCTTTCAATATTTCGAACAGTTGCATTCCGGGGTTTCTTTGTCTCGTACGAAGCAGAATATGAAAAATAGTTACCGATTGAACTTTCTGATGTTGAGGTACAGTTAAACAACTCCATGATAATATTTTGTCTACTATAAAAAAGAAACATTTATATACTGTGCACAGATCATGAGCATTTTAAAAAGCTTTCGTGATCTAGACGATCCCTCTGCATACACAGGGCCTTCTCGTTTGGCAAAAACAAAGAAGCTAAAATACGAAGATGTTCGGCGGATCTTGGCACGTGATTTTTCGTATAGTCTCCATAAACCGAGACGTCGAAGATTCAATCGTTTGAAGACTATCCCCTCAGGGTTCATGACGGATGTGCAAATGGATTTGGCGGACTTTCAGGCTCTTTCAAAATACAACAAGGGCTACAAATATTGTTTGTTGGGGGTTGACGTAATGTCGCGCAGGTTCTTTGCTTGTCCTGTTCTCTCCAAAAAGTCTTCGGATATGCTCAAAGCATTCGAATGTATGTTCAGAAAAATGCCGCAAATCCCCCAGGTGATTTTTACGGATAAGGGCAAAGAGTTTGTGGCCAAAGATGTCAAAAACTTTTTGGATTCAAAAAACTTGGAGCTTCGACATGGAGAAAACGCGGAGATCAAAGCAGCAGTTGCAGAGAGAGGAATTAGAACTTTAAAATCTCGTTTATACAAATACTTTTCCGCACAAAACACTTTGAATTGGATTGGTGTGCTGGACAAGTTTATTAACGCCATCAACAATACTGTGTGTAGGAGCACAGGCTTGAAACCTAAGGATATTAATAGGTCAAACTGGTTCGAAATTTGGAAAAAAATTTATCAATCTGATTCCCCAAAAGCCAAAGAGCCCAAGTTCAAGGTGGGGGATTGGGTCAGGATTTCACGGCAGGCCGGGGACTTTGATAAGGGCTACTGGACTACCTTTACAGATGAAATTTTCAAGATTACAAAAATTAATAGAACTAACCCCATTACTTTTGAACTTGTTGACTCGGAAGGCGAACCGATTGAGGGCCGATTTTACACCGAAGAACTTTCGCTGACTTCTGAAGATACTGAATATCGAATCGAAAAGATTCTCAAAACACGATTGCGTAAGGGCATTAAAGAAGGGTTTGTCAAATGGATTGGATTTCCCTCATCAAAAAATTCTTGGGTTCAGTTATAATTCCAAATTTACAAAAGTATGTTTATTTATAGCACGATTCCTTAAAAAAAAAAAAATATATATATATATATGACAATTAAAGTTTTCTCTGCTTCAGAGGCATTTTCGCTCTTTTCGGTGTGACATTTTCCTTGTTTTTCTCATCGTAGTCCGGGAGTTTATTTACGTAATGGGGAAAGACGACTTCAGTCATCTTCCATTCGCCATTTATACATTTGCAGTTCAATTGACGAGAGAAATTTTTGATTCCCAGAACCGTGATCATAGAATTCGGAGTTATTTTGTGATGCACATCGTCGGCATTATGAGGAAATTTCTCCACATTCTTAAGATCATAAACATGTCCTTCTCGTAGAGGCGAGAACTTTGAGACGTTATTATGTGCATTTACATATATTACAATCGGTCTTTTGAACATGTCAGCTCCATTTATTACCATATCCGGACCTCCGTCAGCAGGTCTGTTGTTCTTCCAAATTCTTAGAATGATAACCGTCTCCGTATTCCTAAAAATCTTGTATTATACAAATCGTAACTTACTTATCTTCTTGACGTGCTTTTTGGCACATTTCATAAAACTCGCTTCTCTTTGTGGTTCCTCCAAGATGTTTTACAACGGTAGTGTCATCAACAAAAATTACCTTTTCGGCCAAATTTTTCTGGACCTCTGTATTATCCAGCTTCAGAAGTGTGCCGGGATATATTGCCTCACCTCCCATATTAAAATCAGGGAACGGCCATTCTAAAGTGATGTGATTGTTAAAGCAATCAGTTGCACAAATTGTCCTGGACTCTTCGCTGTTGAAGGTCTTGAGGACCTGGACGACTACAGTTTTGGATGTTGTCGTATCCATCATTGGGTTGATCAGAAAAGAGGCGCGCGTCCTCTCTTCCTCCGTCATAATAGGCGCAGCCATATCGCGAGGAGACAAAATAAACAAATGAGGTCATTTGCTTATTTTCGCCTCGTGGAGTTTAGCCCCAATCTTTTTCTAGCTCCGCCCTCATGATTTCGATTACCCTTAACGAATATATCCGGAAGACATACGCCGTGTCCATTGATGGAGTCGATATCAATACTTTGAAGTTAATAAATTTTAGTGTAAGTTTTTAATATCATATATTTTATGTTTTTTATTTTTTAGAATTTTTACATGAAATTCCGTGGACGTAAGATTTGTCGTCTGAAACCTGTTCAAAGCAAATGCGGTGAGAAGCTGTGGTTCTTTTCGCTGTACGATAAAGATGATGGATGTGAGAGCGACACTAGATGTCTCTTTGACGGAGATGAAATTCAAATTTATTTAACACCTGTTACCAAACGTCACACTGAAGTCCCTCAATCTGATCTTATTTTTTATACAAATATTTAAAAGATTTTTTGAATAAACGAATAAAAGTTATTGGATTCTTAATCTTTTTGAAAAGGGTAAAAAATATTTCATCATCATTGAGTCGAAAAGTTTATTGAAGGGTCATCAAATTTTATTGATGGACCATACTTACTCTTGATCCTTCCGCTTTTCCGGAAAAAAAATCACAAACATAAATCATAAACTCTTTAACCTACCGCAACCTCTAGGTTGCGCAACATTCATAACATTTCGGTTGCGCAACACCCCGCAACCTCTTGCCCTCCCGCAACCTCTAGGTTGCGCAACAACCCTCAATCCTCCTCTTTTCCACACTCTCTCACCCTTTTTCAATTTTTTACCGCAAAAATCCCCTGACCTCTCTCCCCACTCTCCTCCAATCCCACACTCTCTCACCATTTCATTTTTTACCACAATTTCATCGCGTCCTTTCAATTACGACACCCGCGCATCTTTTTTGAAATTTGACCGCAAAATTCCCCTGACCTCTCTCCCCACTCTCCTCCAATCCCACACTCTCTCATCTTTTTCATTTTTTACCGCAAAATTCCCCTGACCTCTCTCCCCACTCTCCTCCAATCCCACATTCTCTCATCTTTTTCATTTTTTACCGCAAAATTCCCCTGACCTCTCTCCTCCAATCCCACACTCTCTCACTTTTTCATTTTTTACCGCAAAATTCCCCTGACCTCTCTCCCCACTCTCCTCCAATCCCACACTCTCTCACTTTTTCAATTTTTTACCACAATTTCATCGCGTCCTTTCAATTACGACACCCGCGCATCTTTTTTGAAATTTGACCGCAAAATTCCCCTGACCTCTCTCCTCCAATCCCACACTCTCTCATCTTTACAGTACTACCATACCATAAAAATTCCCTCACCTCTCTTCCCACTCTCCTCCAATCCCACACTCTCTCATTTACGACACCCGCGCGCCGGCTCCTCCCCCCTTTTCCAGTGGATGCAAAATTTAGTGCCAGAAACTACCTCTTATTACTACTCGTGTCGTTGATTCCATACTTCTCTCATTTACGGCACCCCGCGCCGGCTCCTCCCCCCCTTTTCCAGTGGATGCAAAATTTAGTGCCAGAAACTACCTCTTATTACTACTCGTGTCGTTGATTCCATACTTCTCTCATTTACGGCACCCCGCGCCGGCTCCTCCCCCCCTTTTCCAGTGGATGCAAAATTTAGTGCCAGAAACTACCTCTTATTACTACTCGTGTCGTTGATTCCATACTTCTCTCATTTACGGCACCCCGCGCCGGCTCCTCCCCCCCTTTTCCAGTGGATGCAAAATTTAGTGCCAGAAACTACCTCTTATTACTACTCGTGTCGTTGATTCCATACTTCTCTCATTTACGGCACCCCGCGCCGGCTCCTCCCCCCCTTTTCCAGTGGATGCAAAATTTAGTGCCAGAAACTACCTCTTATTACTACTCATATGCGTTTGGCTACCGGCTTGATACTTTCTTACAAAGCCAGTAATTCGATCAAATAATGACGTAAAAGGGCCCGGTGTGGGTCTATTAGGACCGGGTCTACCCCTTCAAGGCTCGAGTCTAGGACTTTTTCGGGCCCTGGCCTTGTCTGGCATAGGTCCCACCAAAACCAAAAATCCCCTTGGCGTATCTTGCCATGGGTTCTAGGGCCATAAAAACCCGAGTTTTTTGCCCGTCACATTGTAGTTCTACCGCTGTATTTGCTGTAAAATCTATAGTAAGCTCACTTGAATTCGATACGTCGCCGAACTCATCGAGCTCCCACTTCGCATGAGTTGTCGCAGATGCACCAAACACAGCGCAATAGTGCCGATGAATAAGGTCAGTAGTGTGCCGATAAGGATGTACATAAAGGTCAGCGTGCCACCGGCACCATTCTCGATGCATATGAAAGACGGTTGCGTCTCGGAGACCCTCTTTACCACAGCGCTTTCGTCGGATTTTGCTTGGATTTGAGAAGGCGTGGATCGATTCACTGCCAATGGAAACTAAAAAAAGTATGTATATATATGTATTCGTGATGGGTTTAATTTATATTTAATGTGTTTGATGTCCATGTAAATATCACTTACAACCATTGCGAACTGCACCACAACAAATACCGCGATGTATACCAAAATATTGGGATGAACTAGCCTCTGTAGAACGGGGTGTCGCTGCGGGGATAGAGCCTAAAACAGATGATATAGGAAAAATATACATAGAGTACACAAAATGCGACCTCCGCATAACAAACCCTGTCAATAGCTAGCCATTTCAAAGGCCCTACAGTTCAGCTTAAGGCTGAATCTCTGTAGAAGGATACCCTTTTATAACGAATTTTTTTTAGTCGTATGCTTTCTTTCATGCAAATCCCTTCTTCGAAAAAATGCTCCAAAATGGTTGTTTTGGACCATTTTGTCGGGGCCCGCCGTTTGACTGCACGTCCGAAATGGTTTGTTGTACTACTCGTGCCATAAAGTCCCGAAAATTTATACGGTCCGTTTTTCTGTGAACTTTTGCACTTGCAGCGGCGATTTCTCGTTTTTGCTCAAGCGACCGAGATCATCCGTGAAAAACTTGTTAGGACTTTACGGCGCGAATAGTATCAGACCGTCGGGAAAACAATGAGCACTCTGTTGCATCGAACATCGTATCGCCGCCAAGAAAATGAATCGCGTCGCGGCAAAATCAATTGTTCTTTATCTCAGCAACGGGATCGGCGAAGCGACATTGTTCTCATTATTTTCCCGACAAACTGATATACAAGGATATAAATCTATATAAGAAAGTGCCCATATCCTGAACCGGTTATTTGATGGCCATTCAAATAAAATATTGCCAAATTTACCTGTGAATACCGATAAACAACCGCTGTATAAATCGCTAACGCCTTGCCAGTAGCCATCACTGATGAGAGACAAGTCAAAAAATGCTGGTAATCCCCAGTGGAATTCTTCAAGATCCCGATGCTATACGAGCATTGATATGGGAACATGTTAACAGGCATCCACAGACAAATCACCGTGTCGAACCCATAATTCCAGAAGAGCTCATGGAGAAGATAATACTTGTAAGTTTCCATTCCTAAGAATCGAGATGAAAATGCTACAACATAAGTATTTACCTCGTCCTTTCGAATACACAATTGTAATTGTAGTGATGACGATTGACACTGTTGCGGCAAGCAGTACCAAAAGTTGGACTGTTTGGTGAATTCGAACGTAGGTTTCATTTGGAAGATCCGATTCGATTAGGGTTTCCATCCTAAAAGAAAATGAAATAAGAGATGCCACATAGGAAAAAATGCATCCAAATGCGTCCTGGATGCAATAAAAATGTCAAAAATTATCTATTTCGATCCAAAAAGGGGTGTTTCGACTCTCCTCAAAAGAAAACCTTGACTCTCCTCAAAAGAAACGGTATTTTTCGGCAGAGAGAGAGAGATACAGAACCGACGAAAAAGAACAAAAGCATGGCTTATCGACTTCTAAAATTTTTTTAATGGATGCTTGACACTGTGCTCGGCCCAGGTCTGTACAGAGAGCTCAGAGCTCGAAATATGAAAAACAACGGTTTGTTGCCCGTTTTGTAGCTTTGTCCAAACAGAATAACATACTATGACATTCGTTCGCTTTCTATTACCCGAAACGAGCCAGGAGACACTTTGGGTTTCCTTGAACCGACCCACACAGTACGGCGAGAAATGAAATTGCAAAACGAAACAAAGTCAAATTTCGAGATTCTCTAGGCTCACAAGGGAAGTACCCCAAGTGCGACGCTCAGATTTTCTTTAAATTTTCCACACACGTCGGGAATAGACTGAATATCAATTCCTGAAAGTTTTAGCTCGCGCTTTGCAGGCGCCGCGGAGATATCGGACGATTTATGCCGCCGAGAGAGCACGCTAAACGTGGAGAGCGGTCAGAGAGAAAAACGCTTTTTGGCCATAACTTTAGCAGTTTCGTGCGGAAAATTTTGATTTTTTTGTAGAAACATTATCCTTTACGGTAGAAATAGGCATGAAACTTTTCGTGCCGAAATTCGGCAAAAAGTCCTAAATTTTCGCCGACTTTCGATCTAAAAATCTCGGTTGTTTCTGCAAAGCGCGAGCTAGGATTCTCGCATATATCTTAGAAAAAATTATTCTAAATTTGTGCCAAGTTTCATCAAAATCTGAGCGTCGCACTTGGGGTATTTCCCGTGTCAGTAGTAATCTACATCGAGTTTTATTGTGGCAGCAGGTTTCTAGCTCTCCCTATTCGAAAACCACGAGTTTTTTTTTGATCGAAAATTATCGAAAATGCTTCGTTTTTCGGCCCATAGGTTTGAAACTTTTAGGCCCAAGGACTAACAACGTGAGGTGTACACGTTCTACAAAAAAAAAGATAAAAGTACAATTGTGTAATAATCTGCTAGCAGAGTCGCTGGAGTGATTTCCGCGGCATGAACTGTGCAAAAAAGTCATAGCGCAGTGAACTTTTGTTTTCTTACGGTCCATGTCGCTGGAATAACTATAACGACATTGCGAATAGACTAGTAAGACCTGTTCTTAAACCACATCTTCCAGTCTCAAAAAACAGGAGAATTCTTCGTTTCTCCGGCTCTCCTCTTTGCGCGTGCTCTCTCGAAAACAATTTCTTTGACTATCTCGGGCTGCGGCTGAAATTTGACCCTAGTGCTACGCCAGTATGCAAAAGAGAAAAAAAGTTAAGGGCTCTTTCTGTTAAAATATGCCCCTTGACAAATAAAACATCTTAGCGTTACTTTTGCATTACCAGACCAACCCCAACACTTTTAACATCGAACATTCATATTGTGTTCTACGCCTTACGTCAAGCAAGAATGCCATCAGACGATTTCTTTATGCGGCTTTTGAATAATTTCCGAAACTACAATATGTCTTAACAAACTGGTTGTCAAGTGGCTGTCAACCAAATATTACGTTGAGAATATGATGTTTTGTTGCCTCATTGAATCAAAACTTGAACAAACATGGCTGCCTCAACGCAATTGTATCAGTGTGACGAGAAAATAATGAGAAAAATGTCGTTGCGCCGATCGAGTCGCCAGAGTGAAAAATTTTTTAACTTGTTTGAAATATCGCTGCGACGTAAGCTTTCCTCAACTGCGCGGCTGCGGTCTTGCTCTATGCACAGTGCAATCGGCTTTTTTGAGGTTTGCATGATGCGCAAAAGCAAGATATACAGTGCATTGGCGACAGAAAGTTCAAAATGTGCGAAAACGGAGAAATCTCCAGGCATTTGTGAAAATGCTCTAATATCTGCGACGACTCCAGAAATACCAGTCTGTCGGGAAAATAATGAGCGCTCTGTCGCATCGAAAATCGCATCGCTTTTTTTCACTTCAGCGACGTGATCGGCGCAGTTGCATTGCGCTCACTATTTTTCCGACAAACCAGCACAACCGATTTTCGAGATCTTTTGATCTTAACCACGAAAAATGACGGAACTTCTTTATCCCTACAACATATTTGGTATCAAACAAAACACGAGGTTTTGACGATACCGCGAAAAACAGAATCATAACGTTTGGTCCAAAATAGAGAGTTTAAAGCGAATTCGAATCGGGCTACAAAAATGCCCCGCCGCGTATTGAAATTACAACACTGGCGCATGGGATTGTAGGCTGAAATAGCATGAGTTCTGTAATGGCAAATGCAGTTGTTCAGGTAATGTGAGTATCAAAATTCGTGTAGGGCAATGCTCTGTGGCCTTTCGAGATTGAAACCTATAAGAGTACAGCATGTTTTACTTGTGTCGAACGTACATAGTTATGTCTGTAGTTCTCAAAAAATTTTGTCTTGTAAAGTCGTTGGAGTGATTTCTGAGAGAAAAAAACAGAAAAAAGTCCGCTTCGCACTGGGGAATTTGTTGCTTTTTGCACCGTTCCAACTCTTAAGTTTGTAGGCTTTTTGCCACGGTGCACAGTGACAGTGCCTTTGTGTTTTTTGGACGGCCATTTTGGACCATCACTGTGAATTTGACTGTCGCGCGCGCAACATTCGCTGCAGAGACCTGATAAGACATCTTGTGCTTCACGACAACATCGGGCGGGAATCGAGACTTTCTTCACTGTGAATTCTTCAGCAATATTTATAATCTACTTCCATGGTCACGATACTACTCCGTTTGCAAAGTCGCTGGACCGATTTTGGCGGCGTGCACTGTGAGAAAGGAAAAGTTCACTTAGTGCAATTATACGGTCCTTTGCACCGAGCAGTAGGTTTTTTTGGACAGTCGCAGAGGATGCAAGGTGGTTTGTCTGGGGATGGTCGTTGTTAAAACATGTTAGCGTATTCCCGTATCTGCTCGTATAGCATTGAGATCTTCAAGAACTCTGGTGGGAATCAGAAGCATTTTCTGACCTGCCTCGCGTCAGTGGTGGCTACTGGCAAGGCTTTAGCGATTTTACCGGTATTCATTGGGAAGTATTTTATTTGAACACTAGTCCGTCGCAAATGTCCCTGCAATTTGCTACTTTTTGCATCGTGCAGATAATTTTTTTTTTTTGGACTGTCGTTCGCACTCTGGCTTTTTGCACAGTTAATGTCACCAAAATGACTTCAGCGACCTTACGAACGGACTGTCAGTCTGTCGGGAAAATAATGAGCACTTTGTCGCATCCAATAGCGTGTCGCCGCCGAGAAAATGAATCGTTCCGCGACAACAGCAAATCGTTTTTCACATCAGCGACGTTATTGGCGCAGCGACATTGAGCTGGTCATTTTCCTGACAAACTGATATTCAGACTAACTCATTTGGAGTGGCAGAACAATACGAATTATTTCTCGTTTCGCCAATGAATCCTTTAGCCATTTTCCTGCCTTTTTGGCCGCTTCAACTCGCCTCCAATTCCGCTCATATCCAATTGGACACTATCGCCGCCGGCTTCTCCGAACTTTCCTTTCATTCCCAACAAATTCCGCGAATACTTTTTGTACATTTTTATTTTCTTTTTCCAACCGAATTTTCTTCACAAATAAGAGTTGAGGGAGTATAACAATCTTGGTTATTCAGTACAAACAAAGGGCTGATATCTACTCGAACAAATACACAAGTCTCGTATAGAGTTATTTTCTGACAATCTTCTGTCGTATGTTGTGTGTGTGTGTGTTATGTGTTTACCCGAAACTATCGTATGTTGTGTGTCAGAGAGAGAGAGAGGGAGGGAGGGAGAGGGAGAGTGGGTACTCCAAACGAGTATACAGTAGACGAACGGAGAGAATAGTACCTATATTTATGTATATATGTGATTCACAGGAGTTTAGATGTGTAATAGCACAATCGAGTACCTAGTACAATATGATGGGGTGAAATGGGAGGAGCCTGAGCGGTTTTGACAGTAATTTTTTGATAGAAAAAACTGCCTAACGTGCGAAAATTTCAAATTTTTCCAAAAAATCGACAATTTACAAAATTTCCAAAAAATCCGTCATGATGACATATTCAATTCTATATAATATGTCATCCAAAAGCTACAAAAGTTGACTAGACTCTCTAAAGCATTCGCTAAAAAAATTTGGGAGCAAAAATTTTCAAATTAAAGTTTTTGGATGACGGGATTTCTAGACGTTTTTTGTTTCGCCAAAAAATCGCCAAAACCACTCAAGACTCGCTGTATAACAGTAGAAACCAGAATTTCTTGACACGTACTAGCTTAGATCGCCTTGGCATACTGTAATTTCCTCCAAAATCCAGGGAAATTTGGGATTTCCCCCATTTCTACATCTGATACCAAGTGCAATATAAATTAATATCAGAACTCGGGCAAAACCTTTCTCATGGCCCGAAATTTTACTGGATTTGGTGATAAACCACAGTACGCTGGGCGCAGGCAATATATTCGTTTGAGGAGAGAAGGGGGGCTGTATACAACAATCAAAAAAAATTTACATTTACACAAGTCTACAACAAGGGGGGCGAAAAAGGTCACTTATAGGTTTTCGAGAGGAATATTTTTTTGCAGATTTTCGTCTAAACAACCACTACGCTAGCCGACAATAATACGGGGGGACAGTAATGGAACCAGGACAAGATGTGGAACAGGCATTTGAAAAAAAAAAGTTTCGGGCGAACCTATGGGGGGTAATATTGCGAACCAAATATTTTGTGGGCAATTGGATTACAATGGAGAGGAGTATTTGGTAGGCGCCTGCGGCAATGCATCGCTTGTTTTGTGGGTTTTCCGTGTTTTTTCCACCATTGATTATTTTCGGGGGGAGCCAAAACTTTGGAGTAAAATTTTGTGTTGAATATTGTTGTTGCCGTTGTTGAACACGAGTCGAGCTGGTTGATTAGAGGCCGTAGAATCGTCGAGGAGCCATTCCGCACCATGATTCGTCCTTGTGTTGTAGTTGTAGGTCAAAAATCAAAAATATCGACCCAAATCGCCATGGATAATATAATTGATCGGTGGGGGCGAATCATGGTGTGGATGGGATTCAAACCACTCGGATCCAGTGATTCGAGTTCTGTGGAAGATAGAGGAGTACTTGGCGTGGTGTGTGCTCGTAGTAGCCGCCGTCCTGGCCCTGATAAAAGCAGCTATAGCTGATCTGTTGTCGTAACCTCTCGATCATGGCTTGTGTGGAGCGGCGTTCGTGGCCCATCAGGCAGACCGTGGACTCTTTGATGACTCGGTTCAGGATTTGCAGGTATTGGAATTTTTGCTGAAAATAAAAACATCAAATTTTGAAAAAAAAGTTCAAAAAAATTAAATTTTAATCTAAATCAATATAAAATTCTAAAATTCCGGCTCAATCCGAGGAAACTCCGGATTTCCCAAAGTCCCATGAGCTTTGAGGCCCTCAAGGCAGTTAATTTGGAATTCCCTTGGCTGTCCAAAAAATTGTTTTCAACATTCTTTTCGCGGCCCAAATGATGTCATTTTGGGATCGAAAACGAATACAAGGAAGTCGTTTATATTTAGCGAAAAAGTACAAAAAGCAGTGTGCCGGGGGGTGAAATCGAGCCTATAGAAGGATTTCCTTCCAAAAACTACAGTAATCCTTGTTTTCGGCACAACTGTTTTTCCGGCCCAAAAAATCTTTAATTAATAAGCTTTTTTCGGCGCGAAAAAAGAATACGATGCTACTGCAAAAGAAATGCAAACAAGTCTGTTTATTTTTCCGAAAAAATAAAAAAATTTTTTTAGGCATTTTTGATGCTTTTGACATCATTTTAGTCATCAAAATAGGGATTTTTCGGAAATTTTCAATTTTTTCGCTAAAAAAATCGGTCAAAAAAATTTGAAACTCTAATATACGATGCTATAAAGATTGTAGTTTCTATTGAAAAAACTATTTTCAATATTTTTTGCAATTTTCCAATCAAAATTTATATTATACTAGACATTAATAGGCAAATTTCGAAAACCAAATTTTTCCTCAAAAAAATCGATGAAAAAATCTGAAACTCTTGAAATATGATGTTATAAAGATTGTAGTTTGTATTCATAAAACTAATTTTAATATTTTTTGCAATTTTCCAATCAAATTTTATATTATACTAGACATTAATAGGCAAATTTCGAAAAACTTGCTCTTACCTCGTCCTCTGTTCCAAAATGGTTGTCCAAATACTGCCTGAGTTTGATTTCTTGCATGTTGATGTCGCTGAAGTCGATGAAGAACCTCGAGCACATGTATTTTTCCATCTCTCGGCAGTTTTGCGTGGCCGTGTAGCCCTTGCACAACAGATGACAATACTTGAGCAGGCCGCCGCCGCGGATCTCCTCCGGATTCCGGGTGTCGATCAGGCGTTTCTGGAGGTGCTGTTGGGCGGCGTGGAAGTTGCCGAACATGGACTCGGCGGGGACAACAAGGGATTTGGGGAGTTTTTTCTCTTCCAGCTGGTTCTGCTCGGCCGCGTCCAGCACACTGTCCAGCGTGATTTGGAAGGAGTCGACGCTGAATTCGAACTGGCGGCGCATTTTGTCCACGAATTTCAGCTCAATACACCTGAAATTGGGCGAATTATTATATTGTTTTATATTATCCATGAGGTGGAGATCAAAATAATCTCAAATTTCCGAAAAATTACAGTTGTACATTACTTAAAATTACTAAAATCAATGTAAACCCCTCAAAGTTTTCAATCCCCTCATTTCCGCTCCAAATCCGACAATTTAGAGAATTAGAGAATTTCCAAAAAATCTGTCATGATGACATCTTTAAAAGTTAAAATTTCAAAATTTTCTTTTGATAATTATTCTTTAGTCACTCTACAGACTCCAATAAAAAAATCTCAGTCTAAAAATTACAGTATAACTTCATTTTACGTCATCCGATGACGGATTTTTTGGAAATTTCAAAAATTTTTTTTTCTTTCAAAATTTCAATTTGACCAAAAAATGGATGATAAAAAGTCTAAAAATTTTGTTTTTGATGACTTTTACAGTAAAAAAAATCAACAGTTTATATTACACTTGCCTGCCGTAGTTATTGTGAAGCGAAAACAAGCTCCATCGGTCTCCATCCGAAACCTTGACCATCTTCCGGATGTAAATGTCCTTCAACGTGTCCACACACATCATCTGTTTGTTCGTGGAGGCGGGCATCAGCTCGATTAGCGCATCAAAAACGGCGCAGCGCACCTTGTCAAAGTCGCCCTCCTGACTCAAGTCGATGGGGAAGATGAGGTCGAGATCACTGTAGACGAACTCGTCCATGCTCAGCACGTACGAGGCGGCGCCGCCGTTCAGCTTGACGTGTTTCAGGGCCAGCTGGCGGTCGAGCAGTTTTCGGCGCACGTGCGAGATGAGTTTGTGGAGGGTGATGCGGAGTGTGGGGAAGTTCTCTTTGCCGTGGATCTCCACCTCTTCGGTGAGCACGGTGCGGAGTCGCTCAACCTGCAAAAATTGGTTGGTCAAATTGATTTTTTCTGAAGAAAAATCGAAATTTTCGCCATTTTTTGGCTAATTTTTGACCCAATTTTTTCAAAAATTTTTGATATCTTCGATTTTCCTCAAATTTTTTGTACACAGTATACATGGTATATAGACCAATCCCTAAAAATTTCAGCTCACAAATTGCATAGAGACTCGAGATATTCAACAATCTTTTTTTCGAGAGAGCACGAAAAATGAGGAGAGTGGCCAGACAGAAACCTTTCTTTGCCTATAACTTTCGGATTTTCGCTCGGAAAAAATTGATTTTTTGTAGAAAGATCAAATACCTCGTCAGTAATCGACCATAAAATTATCAAACGCTAAATCAAAAAAATTTTTATTTTCGAATTTTTTTTTTCAAAATTATTGCTATCTTTGATCTCACAAGGAAAGTACTTTTATGGGGGCTCCTACTTTTTGACGGGACATACCTCAAAAAATCAGAAAAAATGTGCTGATCAAGGATATATAAATCTTAGCTGCCCATTTTGGGCTTTTAGGGGTGAAAATGCCCAAAAACTGGCTCAATTTCCCTACAAAAGGCGCATGCATTCGAAACGATAAAAAGCGCAGTCGGTCTCTTCCTTCGGAAGAGAGCGGTGTGGCCGAGTGGTTAGTGCCGTAGTCTGGGAATCAAGACGGAGGACGCCGCACGGGTTCGATTTCCCTTTTGGGCTGAATCAACTTTTTTTGAAGTTGAAGGTCGGAAAAATAAATTTTTGGGCCAAGACTGATTTATTACGTCTTAGGAACTCAATAAACATCATTTTAAGCCGAAATAAAAATTGTAAACCCGTGAAAAATTAGCCGAAAAGGGGTTCGTATAGGACTTTAAGTCAACTTCCGATTGAGTTTTCACCCCTAAAACCCTAAAATGGGCAGCTAAGATTTATATATCCTTGATCAGCATATTTTTTCTGATTTTTTGAGATATGTCCCGTCAAAAAGTAGGAGCCCCCATAAAAGTACTTTCCTTGTCAAAATCCTTTCAAACCCACCAATCTTTAGTATCAGTGGAATACTTTGTTTTCGCAATTGCAAAACTTCCGATCAAACGGCTTATGATAAGCCAAAAAAATCGAAAATTTCATTAGTAAATTTTTTGGGATTGGCCCGATCATATGACGCAGTACTGTATGAACTTGTATGGGGATTAAAAATAGGGGAAATGGCTTATCATCTCTATAGTTTCTTACTATCTTCGATAGGAACGTTCCCAAAAAAATTCGGACCAAAAAAAATTTCAGCGAAAAAATTTGGATTATTCCTATTATTTCTGCATAGCGCGGTATAGAATTTTCTATTGATGCTAAGAGAATCATATATCGCAAAAAATTTAAAGTTTTATGAAAATCCGGGTCGAATAAAAATAAAATTTTTTGATTTTTCGACCAAAAATTCTCGAAATTTCTGCTTAACGCGGTCTGAAATTTTCCAAAAAATATTACAAACTTGCAATCTCTAATTTTTGTAAATTTCACCAAGATTCTAGAAAATTTTATTTTTATTTTTTAAAATTTTTTCGATTTTCGACTTACTTGTCGGTTGTTGAGTTCCATGAAAGCCGAACCGGACGAAGAGGGCGTAGTGGGTGTGGTAGTGGGACTGGCACAACAATCGGTGGGTCTCATCTTGGAACTAATCGCACTGTTCGAGTTTGAATAGTTCTGAAAAATCCAAAAAATTAATCTTAAAAATTAAAAAAAAAAATTTTTAAAAAATATTTTATCCCTTTGAAATCTCGAATAAACTCAAAATCAAGCGTATTAGTAAGCGTTAAAAAATTAAAAAAAAATAAATTAAAAAAGTTTTTTTTGAAATCCTGAAATTTTTTTTACAATGTAAAATTAAGCAGTATCGGATATAAAAATCATCTGAAAAATTTTAAAAAACATTACCAACCACTCGGAAACTACACAAGAAACTATTTACAACCATTTTCGCTGTTTCTTTACTTCCAAAAATTGTAATTACTACCTACAATTGACGTCAAATTGTATTAAAATTACGGAGTAATCTTACAACTGAGGGCAAATTATTATTGCAAGTGACGAGTAAGAGTTTTGAAAGAAAAATTTGGAAGTAATTTTAAAAAATCAAAAAAAAAAATTTTTAATTTTATTTTTAAAAAATCTCAAAAATTGATGACAAAAAAAAGTTTTCCAAATTTCACAAAACTTTTAGGAATTGTAAATCCACATTTTCCAAGGCATGGGTAAAAATTTCAGATCGCATTATGCAAAAATAATCGCGTTATGGGGAGGAGAAAGTTGGAAAATCCAATTTCTGGTCCGAAAAATTAATTTTTGGCCAAAATGATAAAAGAAAATTTCAAAAACACGAGGAAAATCACCAAAAACTTGTTGATAACTTCTCTTGAAATAACAAATGAGAGGTTAATCCCGCTGTGTCGGCCTCTCCCTTCATAAACAAGACTATTAAGTGGGCCTTATCAGTTAATTAAGTTTTTTTTCCGACAAAAATTTCAAATTATGCAAATATTCGATAAAAAAATCGTAATAAAGATCATTTATCGATTTTTGTTTTTTTTTGTCTCAACAATTTTTTTGAATTGTTTACAAAAAAAATGAAATTCACATCAAAATGCAAATCTAACAGAATTTCGATTTTAAATAGCAAACTGATGCAATGTCTGGTTTTTGTTTTTTCGTAACACGGACAGAGATTAGCATAGTAATTTGAGTAGTAAAAAATATGTATATTAAAGTACAAAAATTGAAAAAAACGTATTATTTCGGAGAGGCAGACGGAATTTTTAAATAAGGCACGTTTCATCGTATAATTTGTCCACAAAAAATCTGTTTACCAAGAAAAATTTTTGTAGGGATAAAGTCTATCAAAAAATGTAACAAAAACACCAAAAAACATCAAAAAATTTTTTGGTCCCCCCTTGCCATAGCTTTTTTCACAACCCCCCTCAGATCCCCAAAGCCTCAAAAATTAGGAAAAATAACACAAAAACTCATTAAAAACTATTTTCGCTACAGTAATCTTCAATTTTGCCCTTTTCCCCTCAAAAAAGTCCAAAAACCTCAAAAAAACAGCAAAACATCTGAGACCTATAACTCAAAAAAAATTTAGACTTTTCAAAACACTCCTTCTACCGTTCTACCCCCTTGAAACACTATAAAAACCCTTTAACGTCCGCCTTTTCCACGTAAACTTCATTTTTGCGTCATCCTTCATTCGAAAAGGGCCAAAAACCTTTAAAAAATGCCATAAAAAGTGCCAAAAACAAGTTGAAAATAGTGGTTACGACAGCGCGATGTCATCCTCGCCACCCTCAAAACACTTCGCACCTCCTGAATGGGGAGGGGAATTAACTCGCGGAAATTCGCAAATGACTCCGCGAATATCGGCCGCCAAATCTCGGCCTTCTGAATCCGTTCGAAGCCAGAGCAAGAGAGAGAGAGAGACTTCATCAGATGCGTGTTCCTTCTTCCCCATCTCCCCCAACAAAGTCCCCACCCACTTCTTTTCTCTCTCTCTAATGGACACATCACGTGAAAAACGAGGGCCTCGCGACGCCGAAGGGAGCGCTCGGCAAGAGGAGAGCGGGCAGAGAAGAGGGGCGCAAAAATAACAATACAGTAGGATGCAAAATGACCGGATCTGACGTCGCGCATGACGTGACCATCAGCCCAAATATGAGCTGTTGGGGGCAGTTTTGCGGGCAGGGATTGGGGATAAGTGACTTGGAATTCACACTCTCGACTTCCTGCCCTTGCACCAGACGAGAGAAAACGTCATTTGGTGGGGGGAAATCCAATTTCTTCCGGTCTTCCGGCCTTCATAGGACTGTATGGGGCTCCGAGAAGTGGATGGACATTGTTTTCGAGAATAACAAAAAATCCGGGACAAGAATTATATTGTACTAGACATCAGGTGAAAATGGCAGGTAGAGGGTTCAAAATGAAACTTCTTGGAGTGTAAATAGTTTATTAGGATAGTACAAGCCATAAGAAGACTGTAGAATCGTATATCACATCATAGTAAGGGCAATTCGAATCAAAAATAATATTATTCTAGACATCAGCTGGAGAAAATCCGATAATTGGCCCAATCCCGTGATAAACTTTATTTCCTTGTCTAAAATAGGACCATACGGATTCAACAATACAGCCAAATACCATCTATATTGCGAAAATATCTCCTCCCATCATTACTTTCCCTTAAAATCGAAAATTTTCCGGCTTTTATACCAACTATAAGATTGCACGAAAAGTGGTGTCATTTCTCCCAAATCTCCGTAAAATCTCACTATCCTATACAATAATCTCCCTCCACAATCCGATTGCACCCCGCTGTAAGCGGCGAAACAGTCGAAAACGGGCCGCAAAAACCCCCCGCAAGCGGCGGAAAATGCCCGAAAACACACGGCGAATGTTTTCCCCCCAACTCCTAAAGCATGACGCCATCGGACGTCATCAGCGGTCCCTCAACATCTCACGGCCCCTTTATGGGCCGTGCTCGCCGCCCGACAAGAGAACGCCTACATTTTTTTCTTGTTTTTTCGCGAACACTGCCGAAAAGGGGCCGGCGTTCGCGGATGGGGGCCAGAGAAAGAGAGGGGGGCAATGCGTGAGCCTTCCGAATAAATATGCCTGGAGGATGTGGGGATTCGGCGAAGCCAGGGAGAAGGCAAAAAATCTGCCAAAGATTGCGAAATTTCGCGAAAATAAAAAATTTGAGCGAAATTTGGATATATGCAAATTATGCTGGAAATATGCAAATTTTTGCAAGTATTCAAATTAGAATTGTATGTCAGCAGAAAAACAAAGAATATAAACATGTTTTGAAAGAGCACATAGCATTTCGAAAAGGTCAACTGTATTATCCTTTCATGCCCATCTACAACATATATTGATGATGCCATGGTAATGTGGGTAGAGTAAGAGGCTTCAAAGTGTGTGGGCCGTGCCCTAAAGACATTTAGGTACTACGTGCCAAATTTAAAGTCAATGGCTCAAATTTTGGCCAAGTTATGGCCGCGATATTATTTTTGGTGCTACTCATTTTTAATGCCGTTGTAACTTGAACACCGCTGAAGTTTTCAGCAAATCTCCCTTCCTAGTCTATCCTAAGTTCATATACACTACTATTTCCAAAATTCAGCCCGCCTTCGCATTCATGCACAAAGTTATCACCGAAAAACTTATTTTTATCACTTCTTTTTGTCAAAAATTTTTGCATATTAAATTTTCTCATTGTCGAAACCATAAATTATTGTCGGACCATCAATTATTAGCGCCGGAAACGGTGTTGACCTTCTGGCTTTTGTTTGTAGATAAGAGCATGTTTGTTGGGAACGCTTATGGGCGTGAGAGGGAAAGGAGACGGGGGAGCGGAAAACATCCCGTGATGGCAAACGTACACGTATTTTAGGTCATAAATCAAACCGTGATTCCTGCAAACGCTGGATACGGGTGCGGTGAACAAATTAGAGTGCCAAAAGCCATTTTGAAAAATTTGAGGGCCGGCTTTTGGCAGGGCAACTAAGATTTGGGGTACTGTAGGTAGTGGATGGAAAGTCGTATTTACGGAATTGTAAATGCTATTGGGGTACTGTCATCTTTGCTGTGGGTCCACTAGCTGTTTATTAGACCGCACTAATATCAAATTTTCGCAGGGAATTTGCCATAGGGATACTGTAGAAAAGAAGACTTCGCTAAGGCAAAACTGCCCATTTTTAAGCCAAATTAAAGTAAGAAATAGGCTGTAAATGGCCTCTCAATACATCTGAAGCACTCTAGACGTTACTCGAGTATTGTAACTACAAGTTTCTAAGCGTAAAATTACTGTAATTTCGATTACATTAAAATGAAATCACAAAATTCTTTGCTCCGCAATTGCTCTATAAGTACGACTACAGTATTTCCAGTGCTATTCTAGCGTAAAAAACGCAATTTGAGCGTAAAAAGCCGCATATATTACTTTAGTATCACTATAACAACAGAAACTGCATAACTATTGAAAACAGCCGGAAATGTCATCATGGCTCTGGGACATGCCCAAAAATAATCAAATCCGAGTCAAACCGCATAAATTATTCACTGAAATACATCACTTATCACCTGTTTGACATATTTGTTTGTGCATCGTATCATAATTAGAATGTATAATACAATGCAATAAAACTCCAAAAACGCGGTGTATTTGTCATGACGACCCATGAATTGTTGCTGTTCATGACGCCATGGGCCTTAAAAAATACAATGCAAAAGTTTTTGGAGTCAAATTTGTGCCCTGAGGGGGAGAGAATGACATAATTAATGGGTCGAATGTAATCACTGCTCCTTTCCTCTCTTCTTTGTAACGCCGTGAAACTGACGTCCCCGTGAACGGCGGCCCCGAAAATAGACGTTTTTTGTCACTTTGCCCTCAGGGGCTTTATTTTTGGACCCCCGCTTTGCAGCGCGGAATTTTATTAAAAAACGTGTGGAGGAGACGAGGAAGGACGAAAAGATGTCGGAAACGTTAAGGAACTGCAGAAGTACTGTAGCGTGCATTATGCTGGAATGGTTTTACGACTTTGGACTTGCGTTTAGTGGCTTTGCAAAATTTAGGAGTTAGGAAAAATGGAGGAAAATAAAAATTTTGGGAAATATGGGCAATTTAGAAAAATCCTAAAAAAAGACGTCATGATGACGTAATTTTCAACTCTAAATTTTTTATCAGCTATTCTTCGACTTAAACATTTCCTATTCAACGAGAAAATATCAGGACTTTCTCAATAAAAATTTGTCATCCTGACGGATTTTCTGGAACTTCAATAAAAAAAACCTGTCGAGATGACACAATTTCCTCTCAGAAGATTTTTCACATTATCTCTACCACCGAACAATCTGATTTCAACTCAAAAAAATTGAAGCCTTCAAATTTAAAAGCACGTCATCATGACGGATTTCCTGGATATCCCGTAACAAACAATGCGAACCCAAAAACTCCCGGATCCACATCCCTCCCAGAGCAAACAAACTTTCTAAATTTACATCATGCTTTCGGCTTTTATGTCCATCCTGTTTGTGCCTCGAGGCAAATGGGGAATTTCAACAGAGAAAGTTTTCGGAATTTCGGGAAAACTCGGGAAGTTGGAGCGAAGAAAGACGCAAGAATAGCAAAAAATTTTGTTTTCCAACTTTTTCAGCGTAATTATGTAGATTAAAAGCGAAACAAAAATTCACAAAAAATGAGTCATGCTGACGTATTTTTTCAATTGTTTTGCTGTAAAATTTGATGTTATAAAGTAATATACAGTAATTTTAAAGTTAAAGATAACAAAAAATAAAAAAAAATACATGTCATGCTGACATATTTTTTGGAATTTTTTTTATGACCGAAAATTCAGTTTTATCATAAAATATTAGAGTCTAAACTAATTGATGACTAATTTTTATCCCCTTTCTTCCTTTATATAATACCGTAATGCCCAGAAAAAGCTTGCATGACATCATGGGCCAAATAAATAATCATTTCAGGGCCGGAAATTTTCGCGCACTTTATCTCCCCCCTTCAATAAAACTGACGTCAACAAATTTGTTGTTTTCAGATGTGGAAAGAAAGGAGACGGAGGAGGAAGTGTCTGATGCCAGAAATTGCAATACGAGGGAAAATAGACGGAAAATTTATTAAAAAAGTTGGAAAAAGCAGGAAATTTTAAAATTTTCAAAAATAAAAAATCTCAATAATTATTTTCCAAATTCCCATTAAATTTTCTATAGGGTACACTTATTAATGCAAGGAGAACCAAGGAAATGAGGAACCTTTGCGAAAGAGAGACTATGGAGAATGAAGAGGAGGTTAGAGAAAACTGATTTTTTCGGGGTATCTTCGCGAATTTCAGGAGGAAAAAAGTAATATTATGTAGAAATATTGTTCTAGACATATCAAAAAAAATGTAAATTTTTGAGTCCAAAATATCACAAAGAAGTTCGAATTTTCGCCATTTCTTTCCTAATAATCCTAAAAAATTTCTGCAAAACGCGAGATAAAAAACCTCTAAAAAGGTCTTATACAGTTCCATTCCAAATTTTCTCCAAGCTTCATCAAAATCCAGCCCTTTTTTCACAAATCTCAACCAAAAAATTTCGAAAAATCTCCAAAAAATTTCAGACCAAATATCAACAAATAGCCGACCAAAATCGAAAAATTCCGACTTCCCGATCAGAACGATCACAAATCAAATAATTTTGTCGACAAAAATTGCGATATAACAAGTCAAAAAAGTGATCGTAAACAGCCCAAACTTGGATTCGAAATTATTTTTTGGGACTAATAAACAAACGGATGACTCAAAAAAAAATTTTTTTGTGGATTTTGGAATTTTTAGAAAGTCCAATACTCGTAAACAATATCAAAAAAAATTTGAAGTCTAAAAATTCAAGAAAAAATTTTTTAAATTTTTTGTTACAGTAACCCGGAAATGATCCTAAAATTTTAAAACTAAACTTTCGCTTCCTCTACACAACTTTTTAAACCAATAAGTTCGTTTTTCCAACGAAAAATGACTTGGTTTTTGTTCGGTTTTGGGGAAAAAAGATTACTTTTCAAAAAAAATTGGTTTAAAAAGTGAAAGATGGGTTCAAAAACCCAGCCCTTTTGAACTATCGGGTTTAAAATTGTTTCTACTTTGTTCTAGAATATTCTATAGGCATGCAAAAAAATTATGGCAAGAGGGGACTTCAAAAAAATTTTTTTAATTTTTCCAATTTTTCGCAAAAAAAATGGTGAAAATTTTTGAAAAAAAAGTATGAGGACCACGGGGGTGACCACGTATTTTAAACACAAAAAATTGCCCTCAAATAGCCATTGTTTTCAACAACAAAACACATTTTTGTTGTACATACAGATTAGCCTTGAACTTTTGACAAAATTTCATTCCCCGTACAAGCCAGACCAAGATTAAGAATCGCCGTGTGCGCCGAAGCCCCGATTCGATTGTTTATTTCGAACGGAACCTCCCACGTCAATCCAAAATAGAAGAAAAAATTTCCCGCCCCTTTTTGGTGATTCGTCAAAACGAAATGTCACTATCCGATAAAACGCATTTTCTTATCTTTCTTCTTCCTTTTCGAGAAAAAGCAATTATTTCGGGCGAGAAAAAGTGCCGATAATTTCGCGACATTTCGTCCCTCTTTTAACAAGGAAAGTACTTTTATGGGGGCTCCTACTTTTTGACGGGACATATCTCAAAAAATCAGAAAAAATGTGCTGATCAAGAATATATAGATCTTAGCTGCCCATTTTAGGTTTTTAGGGGTGAAAACTCAGTCGGAAGTTGACTTAAAGTCCTATATGAACCCCTTTCCGCTTAATTTTTTCAAAGGTTTACAATTTTTATTTTGGCTTAAAATGGTGTTTATTGAGTTTCTAAGACGTAATAAGACAGTCTTGGCCCAAAAATTTATTTTTCCGACCTTCAACTTCAAAAAAAGTTGACTCGGCCCAAAAGGGAAATCGAACCTGTGCGGCGTCCCCCCTCTTGATTCCCAGACTACGGCACTAACCACTCGGCCACACCGCTCTCTTCCGAAGGAAGAGACCGATTGCGCTTTTTATCGTTTCGAATGTCTGCCTTTTGTAGGGAAATTAAACCAGTTTTTGGGCATTTTCACCCTTAAAAACCTAAAATGGGCAGCTAAGATTTATATATCCTTGATCAGCGCATTTTTTCTGATTTTTTGAGATATGTCCCGTCAAAAAGTAGGAGCCCCCATAAAAGTACTTTCCTTGTAAAACCAATGAAAACGATACGAAGTTTCGAAACGGTTCAGGAAATGCGCTGGATTGACGTGCCTCCCCGATTTGATCCCTTTGGGTTCCTTTATTAAAAACATTACACTTGTCTACACCCCACCCTCTTTTTATTCCGATTAGCCACCTTCCCGACCTTTGAACTGGCCCAGAAATGTTTGATAATCCTAACACAACCCTTTAATATTCAAAACCGAACGAAAATATAAATATTTGAGAGATCAGGAATTGTTCAGGATTAAAAAATGTGTTTCGGATCTACAAAAAATCTCAACAAGTTATGCCACAATCACCGACTTTTTGAAAATAATTTTTTTTTCCGGCTTTTCAGGAGCAATGACACATAATTTTACCAGGCCCGTATTTTATGTTTTAAAAATTGTCATGATGACGGATTTTTTGGAAATTTTGTAAAAATCGCCTTAAAATTTTTTATGAAATCCACAATGCTCAAAACATAATTTCTGACCATTTTAGACATCGTATTTTACATATTAAACCATGTCATGATGACGGATTTTTTGGAAATTTCGCAAAAATCGCTTCAAAAATTTTCATCTTATCCATAAAGGTTAAAAACAGAACAATTAACCATTCCCAACATCGTATTTTACATATTAAAACATGTCATCATGACATCTTTTCTAGAAATTTTATAAAAACTCCAAAAATCACAACCGGATCTAAATCACACTCGAATCCACTAATCCCTCACCTCCCTCCCAATCAGTTTTGTTTCAAAAAAAAAAAAAATAAAAATTCTTTGACCGAATTAAAATTTTTTGTTTTTCCAAACAAAAAGCCCCTCATTCCCAATCGGAGAGACCCTCTACGGACGTCACTGTCGTTGACAGAGCAGGGAAAATGGGATTTCCAAAATATTTGATCAACGACTGTTTGAACAGCCCATCCATTCACGCAATCCCCCGACATTTGCCCTCAGGCGAAATAGGAAAACCAACGTTTCCGGCTGCTGGAAAGGGCATGGAAATGATTTCGAACGATCGAAAACATGTTTTAGAATTTGTAGGAGGCTATTTGGTGTGTGGTGTAACCAAATGATCAAGTTTGATTGGGTTTCCGGGCAAAAAAATGTCATGGATAATATAACAAATGTCATAAAATTAAGTAGATTTCAGCATAGGGTCTTTTAAACATCAATTTATTACTATTAATACACAATTTAGGCGATTTTAAACCATTTTCCAGTCAAAAAACGGAATGCCAAAAGTGGCGGGAAATTTAAATTTTCGAACTTAAATTTGGCCAAATCGGACGTACCTCGCTCCTTTTGACTACATAAACTCATCAGAATACAAAAACAAAATTTACACTCAGTAAAACTACAAAAAATAAAAAGTTTTTAGTAAAAGCATACGGTAATCTCCCTTTTTGCTCTATTACTCCTTTTGAAACCGAAATAAATTAAATTTTCGCTACTATCCGGCCAACCACGCCACACCTTTTCCCGGCACACCTTAATTTCAAATTGGCCCCCACTGGCAAACCCCGATAATCGACCAGAGTTTAATCGACCGTTACCGTAACAACCCCCGTTCGAACCCGAGGGCTGAATGCAAAATGAGCGCTCGTCAAGAGAATAAACAAAGGGACAAGTGCATATGACATCCGAAGAATGTCATTTCGGGTTTCAGTTCATGTTCTGGAATCGCGTGATGAGGGATTAACGAGTGATGTTGTCGACGCGCCATGGATAATATTGAAATGTCAAAAACAGACGGGTGGAAAACAAAAAATAAAAGTAGATGAGCTTATAAGGGCAGTTTGAGGGATCTCTGGCAATTTGGAGCCATAAAGGGGGCAACAGTTCAAAAATTCGAATTTCCCGCAATTTTTGGCATTGTGTTGCAAGCATCGGAAATAGTCTAAAACTGCGCATAGATGTAGAATAATGCTACACAAGCCACTTAGAACACTTAAATGTCATTTTTTCGAAGAAAACCAGCAATTTTTATATTAACCATGACATTGGTCATGAATAATATAAAAATGGATAAAACTTGGTATTCCACTCAACCCACGAACCAGCTTATAAGCAACATCGAACCTCTAGAGTCCATAGATCATAATATTACAGTAATCCCATCAAAAACTGCCCACATGAGCCCTTTCTCCCGTATCAGAATTCCTCAAGACCTACAACAATATCATATCAGCAAAAACCCCCGCCGTCATTGGATTCAATTACCAAAACCCGAGCCACATGACGTGCATAACTCATCAAACAAATTCTTCGAAAAAGCGTTGCGTGCAGAACACCTTCAAATTAAGAGGGCGAGAAATTAATTTCCAAGGCCACTTTTTTGATCTTGCGACCTTTCACAAATCGATAATCAAAAGATTAAAATTTCGATTTTTTAGGGCCAAAGGGGCGAATGGAGAAGAATGGAAAAGACGAACGCCTTAGGGGTTCGATCTTTTCTTCTTGGTCCAAATTTTTCGACTTTACAAAAATTCAAAAAAACTGAAATTTTTGGTCGGAAAAAGTAAAAAAAAAGGCTCAAAAATAAAAAATAACAGAAAATCAATAATCATGACACAATTTTAGAAGCTTTTTAGTACCGATTTTTTCCTGGAAAGTTCGTTTTTCGTCAATTTTTAAAATTTTTCTCTCCAATTTCGTATATTCTAATTAAAAGACGATTTTTGGCTCGCTGCGTCAGCCCGTAATGGACCCGGGACATAGGAAAAAATCGATTTTGAGTTTTTTGCATAAAAATGACCGTCGACATGTGCTAAGGAAAAGCGAACAACAGTTTTTCCCAATTCTGCCCGGAAGGCATAAATTTGCTTAAATTTGTCTTTTTTGTAACTTTCGACCTGGTGACGTCATAGAAAAAGCAAATCACCCAAAATTTTGCTTGTATACGTTTTCGACCATTGGGAATTGATTTTTTTCAAAATTAAGTCTCTCAGATTACTGTAACATAGGCATATTGTAATCCGGTCGATAAAAATCGACCGTAACTCCTTCGTATCAAAAATCCCACAGGATTTTATTTCAGATTCAGAATCAGCATAAAATTCTGCATATTATACACATAATGCGAGGTCATAACTCCAGGGGGGAGATCGCGTAGTATATTGGATTTTGGCAAAAAGTACGTTTGAAAGGTCGCGGGTTCGATCCCCGCTTGGTGCAAATATTGAAAACACGGCGGAAATCGCGTTTAATGGACACCCAAGGGTTACATGAGATACACTAAGCGATTTTAAACATTAATGCATATCTAATTGCGATGAAAACTGATTTTATATAATTTTTGGAGACTGAATATGCAAAAAATGAAACTGCTTCAAACCGCTTGAAATTGGCAACACTTATTCTAGGGTCAATTGTAAGAAACTTTTCCGTTAACTTTTTTTGGTAGATCACCGTACCATGGATTACTGCAACATTAAACCTGATTTGGTTTTTCGTGTACCACATGGCGCATGGAAGTCGGATTGTCATCATTGTGCTCAGAATGGTTAAGAAAGGGTTTTCTTGTGTACAAAAAAATTTTTATGGCTGTACCGTTTGGAATGGCCGAGTTATTTGACGCACTTTCACCAATTGATTATGACATCAAGACGCGTTGCAATTAAGGTCGAATTTTCTTTCATATATAGAAAGTGGATCTTTTCGCTGTCTAAAACGACTAATTAAAACGATTTAATATTTTATGCAAGAATTTTGAAGAAAATTGCAGTTAATCAGGACACGTTTAATGCTACAGTAATCCATGGTACGGCGCTCTGCCAAAAAAAGTTAACACAAAAGTTTCTTACAATTGACCTTAGAATAAGTGTTGCCAATTTCAAGCGGTTTGAAGCAGTTTCATTTTTTGCATATTCAGTCTCCAAAAATTATATAAAATCAGTTTTCATCGCAATTAGATATGCATTAATGTTTAAAATCGCTTAGTGTATCTCATGTAACCCTTGGGTGTCCATTAAACGCGATTTCCGCCGTGTTTTCAATATTTGCACCAAGCGGGGATCGAACCCGCGACCTTTCAAACGTACTTTTTGCCAAAATCCAATATACTACGCGATCTCCCCCCTGGAGTTATGACCTCGCATTATGTGTATAATATGCAGAATTTTATGCTGATTCTGAATCTGAAATAAAATCCTGTGGGATTTTTGATACGAAGGAGTTACGGTCGATTTTTATCGACCGGATTACAATATGCCTATGTTACAGTAATCTGAGAGACTTAATTTTGAAAAAAATCAATTCCCAATGGTCGAAAACGTATACAAGCAAAATTTTGGGTGATTTGCTCTTTCTATGACGTCGCCAGGTCGAAAATTCCAAAAAAGACAAATTTAAGCAAATTTATGCCTTCCGGACAGAATTGAGAAAAACTGTTGTTCGCTTTTCCTCAGCACATGTCGACGGTCATTTTTATGCAAAAAACTCAAAATCGATTTTTTCCTATGTCCACCGCTGACGCAGCGAGCCAAAAATCGTCTTTTAAGAAGTCTAATTTCCGACCCCGTTCCTAAAATTAGAATACGCATTTGGCTCTCCGAATCTTGTAAATTAAATTCTTCGCGCCTTCGCCCTCTCCCCACTCGAACAAACATCTCGCGCACATCGAAAATTTACATAAATAATTGAAGGGGAGGTGTCGTTTTGCAACTTTTGGCTCTCAAATTTCCACGTAAGCCACGTAAATAAAAGCGGTGGTGGGGTCCTTACGCAACAAACAAATATTTCGGTGGGAATATGTATACATTTGGGTCCAGGAAATGGCATACGAATCTATAAGACGGGGGTTGGATCAGAATAGGAAAAAAATTTATTTTTATCGTCAATGTGACGATCAAAGTGTAATAAGGCTTAGTATAAGTCAAGATTAAAATTTTGCAAGGCATATACGACATTTTAGCCCGCTTTTTACAGAAGATTTTTTGGTTGAAAAATGCCCAAAAAGTGAACAATTTTATGAATAAAAAAGCAGCTCAATCATCTCAAAATTTTATACACTGATTCTAAATAACTCGTAAATTAATCTCTAAAAATTTTAGCTGACGCGTTGCAGAGCCTCTTGAGATTTTTTGATCGAAAAAATATGAAAAATTCAAAAATTTTTCAACCAAAAAATCGCTCAATTTTCTTAAAATTTCTCTCACCCATTCTAAATAGCCTATAAATCTAACACTAAAAATTTTAGCTCGCACTCTCCAAAATTCACCGAGATTTTGAACTCCAAAAATCCGAAAATCTCAAAATTTTTTCGACAATAAATAAAAAAAACCCCCAAAATTTGATACATCGTTATTTCGCTAAATGTTGTAGACGGAACTGACGGCCCTCAGCAGCACTGTCACTTCCTCGCAGACGAGTAATTAGGAGGACTTTGGGATCGTTATCAAGTTACAAAAACACATTTCTGTTGACTTTTTATAAATTCCGATGCCATTTGTGTTTTTTTGGACATAAAGTCACGCAATTTTCGGCTAAAATTAAACGCTTTTTATGGGAGCCAAATTTGGAATTGCAACAGAATGACGCAATTATTTTTTTTCGACATTTTTTGGATACTTTTGGATACCTTTTTTGAAAAAAAATTAAATCGCGTTATGCAGAATTTTTTGACTTTTTTATTTTTAAGTCAAAATTAGTAAAAATAAAGAATTTTCATGATAAATTACATGAATTTAAAGTGGATTTCCCAAGAAAAAAATCAAAAAATCTCGATTTTATGTCTCAATTTACTTCCAATTAATCTTTTGATCACCCCCAGCAAATGCAGCAACTCCTTCCCTTTTCAGCAATAAAAAGTCTAAATTCCGTCTTATCGGGACCTCCGTGGCTCCACTTTGAAACCCCCTTATCTAATGCAGCATAAACAAAGCAGTACAATCGGTTTATAACGACCGCCGATAAGGCTGGATTGCAAGTTTTCGAACAAACAAAAAGCGAAATTAAAATGGGAATGGGAATTTCGTTGAAATTTGGGGAATTTCCTATCTGCGGAAAATCATAAAAAAAATGTAAAAAACTGAACGAAAGTCATTTGAAATTCCGAGAAAAAAAATTGACTAAAAAAATAATCAAAAAGTGTCAAAACGTCCATAAAAATCGAATTTCCGACCTTTAAACTGCTCAAAATTCCCAATTTCCACGTTGATTCCCCCTTTTCAATCGCCTCTTCCCCGTTCGCAACGATTCAAAATTGTTTTCAAATGCAAATTCTTGGCCAATCTCACCCACACAAGTCTCCGTTCCCCTCTGAATCGAACGCCGTTCGAAAATCGATTGAAAAAATATTTTTTTTTTTTGAATTGCTGATCAAGGTGAATAATTTGGCCGTTTAAGGTCAAAGACGAGATGTTTAATGGGCCCTAATTGCCTCAGGCATTGTTTGTTTCGCAGTCTTTGCAGCGGAAAATTGGGGGGAAAATATTTTCGGATTACTCCGAAAAATGATTAACGACTTTATTTTCGGAGGCAGATTAGAGATGCTGGGATTATCTGCCGCCATTTCGAATGCTGCTATCATATGGGAATGCGTAATCAATGGGGGGAAACGGGAGTACCATCAGAATTAATTCTCTAAAACTATGAAAATCCCGGAATCTAGAGTACAACACGCAAACCCTTGATGATACATGACATGAATAAAGATTAAGATTTTTTATGACATACGCGAGATTTCTAGCTTGCTCTATGCAGAAACCATCGAGATTTTTATATCGAAAAATGGCAAAAATTCAAGATTTTTTGCGATTTTCAGAGTGAAAAATTGAGATCTTGTTCGAAATGGGCAGAGAAATAATTACATAAAAATTGAACTGCTGATTTCAAACAAAATGACAACTTTTCAGCCCAAAAAAAAAGGCAAAAAATTTCGAATTTTCGAAATTTTTTGACCTAAAAATATCGGTAATTCCGTCAAATCATAAGCTAAAATCCAGCAGATCCCTTCTAAAACTTTAATTCACAAGTTTAATCAAAACTAACCCACAAAAAATTGAAAAAATTTTCTCAACCCTCATGTACAATATAAAATAAAGTCCATTTTTCCTTCCCAGACATCTCCTCAATATTTAAAACACCCTCCAGCACCTCCATCTGGTGCTATTTCTACGAAAATCATAAAATTTTCAGCCTTAAAGATCCTAAAAATTCAAATTTTAGTCATTTTTCGACCTAAAAATCTCGATGACTTCTGCAAAGCGCGGGCCAAAAATCTCGCATAACTATGTCTTAAAAATTCTAATCTAAATTCGCTCCAAGTTTCATCAATAGCCCAAACACTAAAGATTTCTCTCATAATCGCCCACCTAGTCTGATATTTTTTTTTCTATTTATTTTTTTCCTTCAATAATTCCAATAATGGCCTCCCAGAAACCCATAAATGCAACGTGCTCGCTTAATATCCCCATTAAGCCCTGAGGGACAGCAAAAAATCAAACAGCTTTCGGTCAAACAAACCAAGGATGATAAATCCCCCGAAAACAATCGATTTTTGTGTTCTTGATGATAAGTCTCATGAACAATATGATTGTTCATCCCGCTGATGCAAGAGGAACGGCATTACAAACGGCTGAATAACTGTTTGGCTCAAAAAGATCGATGAGAACAGAATTGTAATTAAAATCATATGTTCAATCATCGGAAATGAAATTTTTTGAATGCCATGACTGGTTCGGAAAAAAATGATAATTAAAATCTGCAAGAGATGACATTTCGATGGAATTTTCGAAAGAAAACGACGCCGATTTTGTTGAAATTTGGGGGAAAATTAAGATTAGAATTTTTGAAGACATACTGTATGCGAGACTTTTACCTCGAGTTTTAGGTCAAAAAATGTCGAAAATTTTGAAATTTTTGGGGTGAAAAATTGATATTTTGTTAGAATTGGGAAAGACAAAATTTATTTAAACTTTGAACTCCTCATTTCAAACAAAATAATAACTTTTCAGCCTTAAAACGGCAAAAAATTTCGAATTATTTTTATAAAAAATCTCGGTAATCCCCTTAAAAACAAGCTAAAAATCCTTCAAATACCTTCAAAACTTCTAATCTAACTTCACTCCAAGTTTAATCAAAGTTAACGCAAAAAATTGAAAAAATTTGCTCAACCCTCATGTACAATATAAAATAAAGTCCATTTTTCCTTCCCAGACATCTGCTCAATATTTAAAACACCCTCCAACACCTCCATCACGCCTTAATGCGCTATTCCCCAAATTTCCTTTCTTTTTCCCCTCAAAAAATCCCATTCCGGGAGGGCTTTACGGCCCGCCGGCCGCTCCCTCCCAAAAAATCGCGAAAAAATATTCAAATCCCGGCTGAAATCGGAGGGTGGCGACGTCAGCAAAAGCGGGATTGCATCACAGCGCCGGAAGGGATTATAATCAAGCTTGTAAACAGTAATCATTACTGTTGATGCCCTTAGGGGATGATCGGGAGGGGGTTCGGAGTAATGGATTGGGAGACGGGTCCCTCTGCGATCTTTGGGTTTTTGAACTCGCGATGGGAATGCACAAGGTCGGGGAGTCCCCAAAAACAGATGTACCAAAGGGGGATTTCGGATGCGACTGCTTCGGCATACAAAGTGATCGAAAAAGAGATCAAAATGAGCCCGAATTTGGTCCCAAACAGAATCGCAGAGCCTGAAGCTGCTTTCTTCAGATCAAATACCCAAGTTTTTCATGATTACCCGTTGTGAGGACGTATTTGCGGGTTCAATTCGGTCGATTTCCCAAAGGGATGCAAAGGAATTATAAGGAAAAAATATGTTTTTTGTGGAAAGAGTTAGTTGCAGGAAGGATTGCTTGAAACGAAAAAACAGCCGAAAGTAGATCAAAAAGAGCTTGAATTTGGTATCAAAAAGTATCGCAGAGACGTAAAGAGAATATTAGTCCGTTCGCAAAGTCGCTGGAGTGATTTCTGCGACGTCCACTGTGCGAAAACAAAAGCACACTTTGCACTGTGCAATTTCTTGCTTTTCGCACCGTGCAATAGGCTTTTCGGGCTGTCGCTCGCACCCTGATTTTTTCTGCACAGTACAAGTCGCTGGTGTGATTTCTGCAACATGAACTGTGCAATAAAAATCAGGGTTCGAGTGGCAGCCGAAAAAACCTATTGCATGGTGCAAAAACCAAGAAATTGTACAGTGAAAAGTGAACTTATGTTTTCTCACAGTGCATGTCGCAGAGATCACTCCAGCGACTTTGCAAACGGACTAGTATCCTTTTTACGTCTCTGTGATACTTTTTGATACCAAATCCAAGCTCTTTTTGATCTACTTTCGGCTGTTTTTTTCGTCCCAAACAACCCTTCCTGCAGCCAACTTTTTCTACAAAAAAACATATTTTTTCCTTATAATTCCATTGCAGCCCTCTGGGAAATCGACCGAATTGAACCCGCAAATATGTCCTCACAACGGGTAATCAAGAAAAAGTTGGGTATTGCAAACAAATGACTAAACAATCAAACATTTACTACATTCTTCACGCGCCTTTAAGGAGTTCGTGCAAATAGACCGGCTACTGTTTACCAACAAAGACTTTGTGGAAACTTGTGAAATGTATTTGTCCAACATAGTGTTGAACATGTTGTGGGGACAAAAGTTTGTCAAATTTCGCAAAAATTCGTCATCATGACGAAATTGTCGCAGAATTATTAAAAAATTTTCATTTTAAATTTCAAAAACATTTCATCGTATAAAATTCCACTCACACAAATATTGTGGACCTTCTGAAACTAATTTTTACTAATTATAATCGTTTTTTGCGAAGGGTGACATTTTATACGAAAATTTAATTTTTCGTATAAAATGTCGCCTCACCAAAAATCCTCCCAAATTGTTTTGCAACAATAAAAAATCGATTTTTATATCCGATACTCCTTAAAAATACGGAATATTTTCAAATCACACTTCAATAAATCCACAAAATCAAAAAAAAATAATTAAACCGACCGTTTTCCTGTTGTTATTGTAGTATCCATTGTTGCGATGATAGCTTTCATTGTCCTTGTTATAATTCCTATATCCTTCGTTACTTTTCTCCGTGTAGTTGTAATTTCCGTTGTAATCGGAGTAGTTGTTTTTGTAATGATTCGAGTTGTTGAAGGTCCGGCGATAATTCGTCGACGAAACCGATGAATTATTTCGTCGACGGACTCGTCGAGGGTTCGGCGGACGGGCCAGTGTGCGAGCACTGTCCGCAGGACTCGGCGGTTGTTTATTGGACATTGTCTGAAAAAATTTACATTACTTTAGGTCATCTAATATAAATGGGAATTGTTCAAAATCCAAGAGTTGGATAGTCCTCAAATTTGGTTCAAATAATCTGTATGGGTTATAAATCAATCGTGGAAAATCTTATCTGTCGCAATGCTTAAACAGCTGAGATATTCAACGATCTCTTTTCTGCGGGAGAGACTACGGAAAATGAGGAGAGACGGTTAGAGAAAAAACGTCTTTAAGCCTCTTTTGCGTTGAATATCTCAGCTGTGCCTGGAAAGCGCCAGCCAAAATTTTCTGGGATTCATTTGTGGCCCATACAGACTTCATTTACCAAATTTCCAAAAACCCAAAAAAAATTTTTTTTTCAAAAAAAATAGCAGCACTTCACCACCCTGTGGAGTGGACTCCCTCACCTGATTGCAAAAAATGTTTGCAAACGTCGCGAAAATTGGCGAAAAAAGAGTCCCCGATCAATCATAAGCAATTTGGAAAAAGAGAAAAACGCAAAAGGAAAACCCATATCCAATATCGATAAAGGGGACAAAAAGAAAAACAAGTCTTGGGCGAGGAGGAATTTGCGACTGAAACCTTTGCGAGGCGTTTGCGTCTTTTCGACGACAAAATTGTCAAAAAAGGAACAAATATTTCGTTTTCGAGGAGAATGAAGAAAAAAGGTGCGACCGTCCGAGGATCGACGCCAAAAACTTCGAAGAAACCCCATTATTTCTCGGTCGAGGCGTCAAATTTAGATGTGATATCAGTCTGTCGGGAAAATAATGAGCATAATGTCGCATGTAAAAGCGCACCGACAGACTGTAATTTGAAATCAGGAGGTTTCAAATCTCCAAAAAATATGTCATCATGACATGTTTTTTCGAAAAAAATGGATTTCCAAAAAAATTTTGTAAAGTAAAATTTTAAAAAATTTATCGTATAAAATGTCACCTCGCCGCAAAATATAAAAATTTCAAAAAAATATGTCATCATGACATGTTTAAAAAATCATCTTTTTTCGAACAAATCCAATTTAATTGTTTTCGTATAAAATGTCACCCAAAAAGGCCTACTTTTGATACAAAACCCAGAAATTCCAAAAAATCGGTCATGATGACATTTTTCAAATAAAATTTTCAAACCATTTCGTTTCAGAATTTTTACATTTTTTATCGTATAAAATGTCCCGCTAACTGTCGGGCCCTAAAAATATCAAAAACTTACCAAATTTTCCGTCGTTTTCCGACCAGTCGACAAATTTTCCAACAAAATTTTCCGTTAACGCAAGTAGCTCAAATTTCAGAAAGCTTCTTCTTGAATTCGCTTATATGTTGTGTTGATATCTGAAATGACAAATCTTGAGCGTCAGAATACAATTCCTGCAGAGAGGGAATGCAAATAAAACCAAATTAAATTACACTCGCTTATAAAGGCGGGTAAGAGTCCAAACAGCTTCCAATTTGAAGGGGAATTTACAATTTCGCGGTTTGAATGATATTAGCATTCTGATTGACATGTATTTTAGGGTCAAGTGAGGAGGGGAATGGACGCACAGACGGAGAAAAAATTGATTTTTTGAGTGGAAAATGAGAAAATGGCAAAAAATGATTTTGAGAATAGAAAAAATCGGTCCAAAATAGAAAAAATCAGAGGAAAATCTTATACGACAGACAAAATTGCGAAATTTTGTAGGCCGCGTTTTACAGAAATAGCAGAGAGAAAAAATATTTTAGATTCCAAAAATCTCATTTTTCTGAAATTGCTCAAAATATTTCGACAAAAAAATACTCCAGTGGCAAAAACCGTACCATTTTGCATCCGGAAAGTATAAAAAATGTGGCAAAATGCTTCCCAGTGAAAAAACTCCGATTTCAAAAGCGCGCCCGCTCTTTTTGTGAGGGAAACGACGCGGCTTTCAAAACGAAGTTTTTTCACTTGGAGAGGGCAGCATTTTGCCACATTTTTGATACTTCCCGGATGCAAAATTGTATTTTTTGCCACTGGATCAGGTCCCCGACTGTAGGCACTTGTACTCCAAATGCAACGCTCAGATTTTGATGAAACATGGCACAAATTTGAGAGAACCTTTTCCAAGACATACGAGATTGCCAGATCGCGCTTTGCAGAAACGACAGAAATTTTTAGGTAAAAAGTTAGGCTAAAACTTTCAGAAATCGATATATGGTGCATCCCTAAAAAGTGTGAAAAATTTAAGGAAAATCTGAGCGTCGCACATGGGGTACTCCGCAAAATTCAAACAAAACTATCAAAAATTACTTTTCTTTAAACTTTTTTCCAATTTTTCCCACAATCTAATCCTACATCTTCACTCCTCTATATCCCACTTCTACCCCAAAAAAGTTCAACTCCGCAAGAATGTTCGTCAGAGATATGTTATTGCTATTGCCCGTCAACTGTAGCGGAAATACTTTTTCAAAACATGTGTGCAAACAAAAAACGGTTCGAGCACAAGTTTTACGGGCCTCCGAATGCCATAAGGACATGTGTTTTTGTTATAAATTATAGTTGTTTTACACGGGAAATGCATCGGTTATTCGCGAAAAGGGTTCAAGTTTGAGGCAAAGTATTTCGTTACCTTTGTAAATAGGTAATTGTAGATACGACAACAAGAGATTAAATCAACAAAATAGTCAACATTCTATGTAAACAGTTCCATTGTCACCAAAAAAAAAGTATTTTGAATAAAAAAATTGCCCGTTATTGCCAATGTCTATAAGATAATTTTTTAATGGAATTTCTTAAAGTCGAGCTCATAAATTTGCCGCGAAATTTGCATATGCCCTCCATATGATCCACATGTTCATCTCTGAAATTCTTAGCTCCTGAGTTGCAGGCGCAGTCGAAATATTCAACAATTTCCGGGAAGCCAGAGCTAAAAATTTAGCCACGTTTGACAGCATCTGAGCGTTGCATTTGGAATGCTTCCCCTGTAAGGAATATAGAAGATTTTAAGCTAGTGCTTCTCGGAAATCGTTGAATATTTCGATTACGCCTGGCACTGAGGAGCAAAAAATTTCAGCGATGAACATGTGGATCATATGGAGGTCATATGCAAATTTTGAGGCAAATTTATGGGTTGGGCTTTGAGAAGTTCCATTACAAAGTTATTTTATGGACATTGGCGATAACGGGAAATTTTTTTATTCAAAATATTTTTTTTTTGATGACAATGGAATTTTTTACATAAAATGTTGACTATTTTGTTGATTTAATCTCTTGTTGTCGTATCTACAATTACCTATTTACAAAGGTAACGAAATACTTTGCCCCAAACTTAAATTAACCTATACATTCCTAATATTCAGCAACTTTCAAACAAGAAACGTCGAAGCCTCGTATTTTACAACCTTTTACAACTTTTATTCAATCTTCTCAACCAGATTAGTTTAAAACGTTTACATCCCACAAAACTTATTAAAAATTACGTGCAAAAGCGCTCCCAATTACAACTATTTTTACAGTTAATCCAATTTCAAATTTCAGGTGACGAAAAGTCCTCGTGACAAATTTATCCCAATTTTTACACTTTTACAATACTCAATATGAAACAATGGGGGATTAAAAACAAAGCGAAATGGCGAACGACTGAACGTTTGTTTCGGGGCTTACCGACAGACAGATTATAACTCGGAACGTTTTATACTTTGACACAGGTTTGTCACAAAAAAATTGAGGGCATTTCGATGTTATTTTGTGCTTGAAAATTTATAGTTTTCTAAATGGAGGAGCTATTCAAAACTGGGCAAAACAAAATTGTAGAAATAGTTGTTACTATAATATGATGTGATCCTTTTAAAAATGACAATTTTAGGATCTATTTTATCTAATAGGTCAAGAAAACAGTCCTCAAAAATCATTTCTTTTGGTGAAGAAATCCCAAAGATATTGTCAAAAAACTTTATTTTTTCTCTGACCGTCTCTCCTCATTTTCCATAGTCTCTTGTCCGCAAGCATCGTTGAATATCTTGACCTCCTGAAAAGCGTGAGCCAAAACTTTCTCAGGAATCTCCAATATAGGTCTCTATATCGTCCCCAGAAAATTTTAGCTCACGCTTTGCAGGAACAGTCAAGATATTCAACGATTCTTGCCGACAAAAGACTATGGAAAATGAAGAGAGACGGTCAGACAGAAAAAATGGCTTCAAGTCATATCTTTGTAAATTTTCAGAGAAACAGATTGAGAAACGAGTGAAAAAATATTTTTGTTTCATTTAGTTCTCTATTCACCAAGTTTCATGAAGAACGCTTAAAAGAACACCGTAGATAAGAAATTCCCTTATTATCAGCTGATTTTCATTTACAAATGGTACGTGAAGACATAAGCTCAGATAAATACTGAGAAAACTAAGCAAAGCCCCCGTTATCCACCAAATTTAAGGCAAAAATTTACAACATACACCAAAATAAACCATAAAATGCTTCTAATTTTGTATCCAATACAAAAATTTTTGTCCCTAATCGCACCGAAATTGCATTTCCAACCAAATTTCACCAGCTAAATCCCCGAAAAGTCTATAAAAACAATTTTAATCCCAATATCATCAACAAGCTGCCCTTTTCTCCAAAAGTTAAAACTTTGAGTTTCAATTTCAGCGCGTTAAAAACTTCAAAAATACCAAAAAGGCATTACAATCAACTCTCAAGTAAACATCAAAAGATTTAGGTTCTGCAAAAAAGATTTAAAAAAACATCAAGTCAGAAGTTTCACAATTTCAATATTGAAAAAACAAGTCAACAAAACAAAGCGATTTGAGGAAGCGGGCAGAAACCACGTTCGATCGGGGGAATGAGAGGAACCGAAGGAATAGGAGAGAGGAGGGCTCTCGGATTTTTAGCGCTGCGAAATTTCTCGAAAAGCGGCGAATTCGCGGGACGCGAAGGGAGAATTTCGAGAGGGGAATTGGGCCTTCGCCGGCGAAATTAAAGGCGCGTTTATCGGGGGAGATGTTTCGAAAGGCTGCGAACCATATGCAAGGCGAATTTTCGTGCGA